CCACAGAGAAGTAATCCCATGCGTTAGCACTACCTCAAAAATGCAGCTGACAAACTGCAGGCTGAGAACTTGCTACCTTTTGCCCACTTTCTGTTAAGGAAGAACTCTAGGACATTCACATTCAGCATCTAACCTTCAGTTTCAAAACACTCAGTCGGTGGAAATTTCACTCCCAGGGCCTTTTCCAGATCATACACCATGCTGATTCGCCGGAAGGGAGGAGTAAAATCTATCTCGTACGCCTGTCCATCTGGACCGTCTGGATGATAAGTGATCTTGTAACTCCCAGTAATGTGTTTCACCATCCCTACAAAAGGAACCTCGAGTTTAGAAGAAGAGTATGCCACATAATAAGCAATTCTTCCAGAGATTCTTCCTCTTTTGTTATTAATACTGCATACATCACCTGAAAGCAACTTCTCTGTAATGTCCATCAAGTCGTGGTAGTCTGCGTAAGCCATGTAGAATTCACAAGTTGTGAACTCAGGATTGTGAGTCAAATCGATTCCTTCATTCCGGAACTGACGCCCAATTTCATATACTCTGTCCAGACCTCCAACCACCAACATCTAAACAAAATGGAATTGTAGTAAATACACTGACTTTTTCAAAAGACCTTAAAGAGAGCTCGAACACACACAACTGCAGCACAACCTTACAAATCTCATTCAAGATGAGACAAGTCCACCTTTCTTCAAAGAATTACTCTCATTTGCACTACATTTACTTTTTTAAAGCAGTTTGAAGAATACAGGCTTAGCCATGAGAGGCTTGCATTCTACCTTATGGTAAAGTTCTGGAGCAATTCTCATATACAAATTCATATCCAATTCATTGTGGTATGTGATAAATGGTTTTGCCACAGCTCCACCTGGAATTATATTCATCATAGGAGTTTCAATCTGTAAAATAACAACAAAAATTGTCCTGTTTTCATCAAATCTGTTTCCAAAACAGAACTGCACAGATCAAGCAAACAAACCGCACCTAGTTTTGATGAAAAATCTTTGTATTTCACTTATTGACATTTCACTTTATGAAATATATGAAAAATATAGTAAAACAATTCTGAAGTGCATTTCTTTTATGTGGTCAGTAAAAACAAATTATATAATTGATCTGTTGCTATCAAGAGCCATTCACATTTACTACAAACATGAACCTGCTGTTACCAAAGCCAGGAACAGCACCATGACATTACCACAAAATCCTCTCTCTACACTGCAGAAAATGAAGTTCAGCAAAGCCAAGTGAAAGCTCCTGCACATGGGTCAGGGCAATCCAATTTTATCCAAGGAAGTAACCCCTGCTTTTATCTCCAGCAGCAAAACACCATTTCAAAGATGTTGTTTCCACTTAATGTACTGGAATAAGCCAAAAATAGCAGTAGTTTGGAGTACTACATTGATAAAAATTTCCCAAGTCATAACCTTGCCAACTGACGAATAGTCTTAACTTTAAAAAGAGAAGAAAGGAATGGCTCCCATTACATTAAACTGATAAAACACATCATGCTAAGGTAATTATATTACCTCTGTAAGTACTTTGCATACGAGCCTGAATATAAAGCACCCTTGAAGCTGAGAAGCTCTAAACACTTTCAGTATCGGGAAAGAAATAAACACTGAAGCCTTACCTCAAGGAAGCCCAACTCATCTAGAAAATGCCGAAGATAAGTGATGATCTTTGCACGGGTTATAAATTTCTGCCTCACATAATCATTAAGAATTAAATCCAAATATCGCTGACGATACCTAGTTTCCTGAAAAGAACACATACCCTTAGAACAAGCTAGATAAAACGTGATGCGAAAGGAAACAAATATCAAACCAAAACTAACGTTCCTTTGCTGACCGACAACATCAACAGGTACCAAAGGTCATCCATTCAGTCCTATCTGTGGCATTCTTGCCCATGGCAGGAGTGTTGGAATTAAATGATCTTTAAGGTCCCTTCCAACCCAAACCCTTCTATGATCTGTCAAATTGCCTCCAAGACTGGCAGGTATGACAAGTACCTTATCTTTGAGGCCAAAATGAAGATGAGGCAACATGTGCAGGCATGGAGACAACAGAGTGATTTCATAAGGAATAATACTCAGTTCCCCTTTCTTTGTTTTCCCAGGATTCCCCTCTACACCAATAATGTCCCCACGACGTAGCTTGTTGTTAACAAGGAAATACTCTTCCTCGGATTTGTAGAAGCTGTAATTACAAAACAAATGTAAGCAGGTTTGTTTAAAATTCAATCTTCCAAACTGTCCTCAAGTCTCTCCCAAGACCAAATCCTTCAAAAAAAAAAAAAAATTTACTCAACAGGGAAGACAAACACAACATCCTAAGCATAATGTTATCTGGCTGCCTAAGCCAACCCATAGACAAAATAGAATACTCAAATACAGATCTCTAGGCCCCAAAATACAGTGCTGTATAGAACGCTACTGGGAATACCTCTCCTTACCTGGAATTTGCCATGATCTGCAGCTTGACTCCTTCACCACGAAGATCATAGAAAATCAGTTTCCCTCCAGAGGCGCGCTTCGCATGGATTCGACCTAAATATCAAAGCATGCAGAACATCAGGAAAAGAGTCCCCAGCAGAAAGGAAACAGGGACAAGAGCCACAGAATTATCATTTAGACAAAGAATCATCATCTCTGCACTGAGCAGAGCGGGAGTACTGCTGCTGAGTCTAATCCCATGCCATGAGAGCTTCAGGCAGGATCCTGAAAGCCTAGGTGGAGCAAAACTGCTGCTGACTGTGAAAGAGAAGCAGTTAAGTCTCAAAGTTAATACCATATGCACTTTAGGTCCTGGAGCCCACATTACAATCTGATCTTCTAGTTGTAAGGGATGCTGCACAGGTCCACTCAGTCTGAAGGGACACGTCCCAAATCGTTTAACATTGCTACAGACTTCACGACCGAGGATCAGCAAAATTCAAAAAGAGACCAACCCATCAATAAAAGCAGCTAAGACTTTACATATTTCTGTATCCCACATAAGCCTTTACCTGCCACTCTCACTGTAATGTCTTTCAGGTGATCTCCTGGCTGCAGGTGACTGTACTTGTCTATAAAATCTGAGAGAGATAAGTCTACATGGAACTTGTGGGGATAGGGATCTTCACTGGTGCCCTTCAGCTGCTGGATTGCATGGGTACGAATCTTGAAGTATTGCTGTCACCAGAAACAAACAAAATCAAACGATTTTATTAGAATCTGAAAATATATTACAGGGTGCAAATCAAAATGCAGCTGCCCTTATACAGGAAAAGCCATTTTGTTAATCACGAAGAGAAAAATAAAATTTAAGTCAATAAGATTTATTCACAGAACAGCAATAAGCATGAGACTAGATGCTCACATTTGGATCCAAGCTTTCCTCATCAGCTCCAGCATTATTCTCAGATGTCAAGGAAGGCTTATTTGAATCCTTTTCACTTTGCTCTTTCTGCTTTGCCTCTTTTTCAGCTATTTTTCTCTCAGCCTTTAAACGTCTCTTCAGCTCACTGCAAAAGAGAAACCAGATGTAGCAGATACCCTGATACTTCTACAGGGAAACAATTATACAGTAAGATTTTGGCAGGGTCCTGCCAAATAACCCTGTCACTTCTCTTAATCTGCCCAAAAGTCAAGATAACGCTTAAGCATCTTTGAACATTTTATTCTTTGAACTCTTTTAGTTCATATCCTACGATACAAATACTCAGGGAAAGTGAAAGCGAAATTAAACAGCGGAGACAACGCCTAAGCGTCTAGGGGTATTCCACACCCATTTTACTACAATGAGCCTGGCAGCCCCACGCAGCGTGAAAGTGAAACAAGGCAAGGTCCCCACTGCAAGAGGTCAGGCGAACGGAAGGTTCCCGAAGCCGCCTTCGCGGTCCGGCCCGTTTCCCCAGGGCACTCAGGCTCCTGCCGCGCTCCCGACCCCGCCGTCCGGGACTCCGTGAGGACAGAACTGGTCCGAGCCAGACGCAAAGCACCGACCTGCTTCGGTCATGAAGCGCCTGCCGCCATCGGAGCGCGGGCGCGGCCCTCCAGGCCCAGCCGCGGAGCCGCGCGGCGACGGGGCTCAGCATGGGGCTCCGCCGGGTGCCTTGGCGGAGACACGCACTGAGTCAGCCGGACACTCGCCTCGCCTCACTTTCACCTTCACCTTCAACTTCACCTCCCCGGCCCGGCCCCGCCTGCCCGCCCACCCTCACTTTTTGCTGAGGTGCGACTCGGTCTCCGGGCCGCCTCGCACGCGCGCGTCTGTCGCGTCTCGGCCTTGCCGCCGCCGCCATCTCCGCCCTGCCAGCCACCGCCTTACCCGGACTACAGCCAACCTGCGCGCGGTGATTAATGGCAATGGGCGGGATTCGTGCCGTGGTATGGCGGGGTCACTGTGCCGTCGTGGATGATGTGTGGTGGCGGTCTGGGGGGCGGTCTGGGGGCGAGGTTTTGGGGAGCGTGTGAGGGGGGCGTACGGGCGGGGTGATTGGGCGATGGCGCGCGGCCCGAAGCAGTGATGGCGGGCGCCGAGGCGGTCGAGCGGCGCGGGCGTGCCCGGATGCGGCCGTGGGACGACGGAGGGCGGCGGACCGATTGCGCGTGGCGGGCGCGGGGTGTGCTTACGGTGCGGTGGCCCGGCGGCGGCCCAGAGCTGCCGGCCGGGCGCGCCGCTGGTTGCTGGCCACTGAGGCGCGGCGGGCGGCTTGTTGCCGCGTGCAGGAGATCCCGGGGCCCGTGCTCCCTGGCGGAAGCACCGCGCGAGCGGCGCCCGGCGGGGGCCGCTCCAGGCCGCTACGTAGCGTTTGACGGAGGCGTGGAGCCGCAACGAGCGGCCTTGCCGCTGGAGCCCCTTCGTGCTGCCCGCGCGCCGCCCCCCGCCGCCGCCGCCGCCGCCCCGGCGCGGCCGCCTTGGCCCTGTCACGCGAGGCGGAGGACACGCGGCGCTGCCTGCGGGGCGGTGCCGACGGCGGGCGCGGCGCGGGCGGGCGGGCGGCGCTAGTGGATGGAGCTGGGAGCGGAAGCGGGCCTGACCCGCACAGCTGGGGCAGCCCATCTGCGCGACCGCCTCTCCTGCGGGCACCTGCGGCCCGCCTTGCCCTTCGCGGGGTGAGCGGGGACACGGCGGGCAGGGCGTGGCAGGTGGCGGGGGCCGAGCGCGGGCCCGGGCCCCCGCTGAGGCCCCGCTGAGGCCCCGCTGACGGTGCCCGCGTGTTTCCGCAGAGCCTCTGCAGGCGGAGGAGACCTCGCAGGTCACGGGTCTCTTCGCGGCCAATAACCGGGAGTTCGAAAGCGCGGAGGTGAGTGGGGCCAGCCCGGGCAGCAGCGGTGCCGCGAGCGGCTCCGGGGCGACCCCCCCCGGTGTCACAGGCGGCAGCATCCCTACGCGTCATTAACAAGTGAAATGCCTTTGCACCGTGACATCCCTTCTGCGGCTAAAGGGGAGCTTCTTGTGAGCTGTCAGCTGCGTAGCTTGTGATGCACGGGGCCTTGCTGCCACAGATTTTCTTAACTTTGTTCCCTGCCCAAGTTAACATGAGGAGGTTTATGTGATGGGGTTGTCACGTTAAAACCTTCACTGGCAAATAGAAGTCATCCTTTCACCTCAGGCACAAAATGTTCCTGCCACTGCATCATCACTTTTGCTTTTTATGCTTAGTTTGTTCAAAGTCTCCCTTGTATTTCATGCCTTTCTATGATCAAGTGTTTCTTCATTAACACATACAGCTTAACTTCAGTAATTGAATTTTACCATGCCTAGTAATTTCTGAGGTTTTTATATACTGCAGAGTCACGGTGGAAGGTAGCTGGTAGCAGTAGTAAAAAAAGCTGGTCAGAAAATACCATGTCTAATTGGTGACTCCACTTCTTTTACTCTCAGTCAGAAAGCGACACTTCGGACGTTTCAGAAGAACTTTCTTCACAAGATGAAGGAGGAAATTCCCCAGGAGAAACAGCATCTGATTTGAAATCTGGACTGGAGGACTCTGCTTTCCCTGACACTCAGTTACAAAGGGAAGAAAGACCAACAAGCACTTGTTCTTCCAGTGTGGTGGGAGAAGTAGTAAAAACTATGCAGCAGTTCATGGAGAAGTTCAGCGTGGACCTGTTCACTGTTACACAGGCCTTTCTGAAAAACAGTGGTGAAGTGGAGGCTGCTTCAGACTTTCTGCAGATGGGGCAGCGCTTGGATGGGTACCCTGTATGGAGCAGAGAGGATGATTTAGAATTGCAAGAGGATGATGAACATGTCAGAAATAAATTGATAGCCAAATTTGGAGCTGAAAATGTAGCAAAGCGGATAGCATTTAGGAAGAGTTAGCAAGAGGAGGACGACTGATCTAGGACTGTGGCAGGAACTTTATAGTAATTTCAGAAATGTGATGGAAAATTTGATCAACATTATGAAGTTTCAATGCTTTAAAGTAATTTTTTTAATAAAAGGCCCATTTTTATCTCTACAGGTTGAAGTGGTGCAGCTTCCTTAATCCAGGCAAAGTAACACATGTACCAGACCATATATTCTAGTTGGAAAAAGTACACCAGCTTCCAGAGCCATGTGCCATAATAGAAGTAGGAGAGACAAGTTAACTAAGAGTGCCCAGAGTTAAGGTATCACCTAAGTTGTGATAGTTGCTAGTATACAGTCACAATCTGAAAAACTGGGTAATTTTAGCACGTTGTGCTCTGGTCACATAATATTATTTGAAGTGAATCCTATAAAGCTGGAGTTCATTCTTTTGGTGAAATTAAATGGGCTGGTAAAACCAAATTTTTTTTCCTAAAGATTTATATTTTGGGTTTTTTGCTTATTGCACTGTGGCACACAAATTAAGGTGGATTGGGAAGTTGCTGATTTTAAGCCAAATTCAGATTATCTTGAGAGTAAGTAACAGTTTGATATAATGAGACTGCTATTTCAGGAAACCACAGAAACATCTGAAACACCAACTGATTATTAGGGGAGTTAACTAATGTAACCAAATAAATGCTGAAACTGCACTATGCAGTGTTTCACTGGACAGGTCATTCCTGCTGAAAAAACACTAATTATTTGGTACATTCATGCCATTCAGGCTGGTTATTTGAGACTTGTGTGGAAGGCCAGACAAGCACTTAACAAGGGAGTGCAAGACATCACAGCAAACAGAATAGTAAGAATTTTAAATTAGAAACTTTACCAGCTGGATTTGAAATCCAAGTACTGCTGATGACCAGGTTCATCAACAGGAGATCTGTCACCCCCTGCAGCAAAAAGCTTCCCATTCCAGGAAGCAGAAGTTAAAGTAATTTTCAAAACAGTACACTAAGGAAATGCATTATATATTACTTTTATGTCATTTGTTTACTGACTGACTGGAAACACTATCAAGGCTTTTGTTCAGGTAAACATTTGATAGACAGCATTGATTGAGTCCACTGAAAACAAGTATTTATAATAGAACTTAAGTCACTCAAGCTGATGTAGAGATATAATTAGTAATGTATTGAAAAGACTATATTTGCTCAAAATCAGGCTTCTTGGCACTTAAAGTAGGAAGCTCTTTACTATAACTTCAATAAGAAGAGGCTTCTGAGACCCCATGCTATTAGCTGGATATGTTAAGGTCTATTTTAAAGGGACTTTGAAGAAAAACTGGCTATGTGGTTCTCTGGCACAGTACAAGTCCCACTTCTCTATGTCAGCCTACCTGCCCTAAGTTTGCACAAACACTGTGTAAAGGAAGATGCCTTGCTTTCAGTGGACTTAGTACCATGATGCCAGTGCTGCCTGCTCACCATGGATTTTGTCATTCAACAACAAGATCCCCTGTAATAACACTATTATTTCCATAATACAACATCCCACCCTTTGCAGGGATTAGAAGTTTAGTTGTAGGAATATAGATGTCCACATCGCTAAGGTAGCAGGTGATCTGTAGATGTGTGTTAAAGGGAATCCACAATTTACATGTGAAAGAGATGTTTAGGAAGAGGTATTTGTAGGTATTTCAGTCCTCCCCAAGTCTGGTAACAAATTTTTCTCCTTGTCTTCTAGAACACTGTTAAAACCTGGTAAAAATAATTCTGTTGTTCTGGTTTGAGCTACATATTCCCATTGGAGGTGGGAGAATGGCATCTCCAATTGTGCCATGGGCTTCTTCAGTCCACTCCCATAAACCTATCTTCCCAGTCCAGTATTTATACCAATGGAATCTGTGTCCTTACCTTGTCTTCAGGATCTCAACCTTACCTTGTCTTCAGGATCTCAACCTTACCATGAATTCCACTGTCACACATATGGACTGTGAGACCTCACGGGGTACAACTGTTCTCAGGTTTGAAAGCTAAAAGACAGAATTATTTCAACTAAAAAAATAAATGGATTCATATAATCCCAGAAATGGATCCCCACATGCAAATCCAAGAGTTTTTATTTTCAACAATAGCAGGTTTATTCCATTTTCCCATTACACAGTAAATGAACACAAACATTTCCCCAACACTGCCAGCAAGGCTGGATACCCAGGCAAAGGAATGAAGCAAAAGGAAAACTGGGCTTGAAAACCATTCAAAAAAAAAAGCATCTTTCCAGAAACCAAATGTTGGTCATCCTTGCATCTCTTCTGGCATTACATGTCCCGTGTAGCAGCATGACAAATAATGTTCTCTCTATTCAGCTTCCTTTTATATTTCCTCTTCCTTTGCAGTGCAATTACTTCCACGTGGGGGGGTCGAGTTCTGCTATCTGGTCCCACTGCTTTGCTAGTTTGTATGCTCCAATCTAAACATACTTAATTTGAAGAACAAACTTGCATTACTTCAGCCTCCATTGTGGCTGAGTCTCCAGGGGCCTTAGAGAGCGACCCTGTGCTGCTGAGAGCTCTTGTGAATGCAGTCAGGATTCCTGTGTTACCTGTCCTTGCAACCATGCATATCCATGCACATGCTCTTACACTTCTATGCCTGCACCTCTGTCCTCTTTTGTTCTAGAGGACAGTTCTGCCCTCTGCAGCCTTCAGAGAGTAGGTACAGACACCAGCTGTTCTGCCTTCGGAGTTTGATACTCAGAGGAGTTCTGGGCAAACAAAAGATCCAGTGAAATATTTTTTTGCTCTTCTTCAGATTGAACGAGCCGATAGCCCAGCAAGTCCATTGCATCCTTGCACACTTCTTGCACTTTTTCTATTTTCTGGAAGGGAAGTGTCTCCCTCCAGGCCTGAGATACTCTCTGTGCATCTCTGGACCCAATTCCAAAGGCGTGTGCTCCGAGACCCTTCCCATGAGTGATGTTGTGCACCCACTTCTGAAGTTCTGGTGTGAAATGTAGTTCTGCAAACCTGTACATCTGAGCAGCCCTTGCCAGAGGGTCTCTGACAATGTCTTCATAGCGAACCAGCAAGTATCTGTCTTTCAGGAAGCTGGGAGTGGCCTGAATTCCTGCCTTATAAATCTCCACATGACTTCTGCAAATTACTTGCATTGTGTTGTAGGGCCCCATTTCACCCTTTGTCCTCTGAGACCCCGCAATAATGTTACTGTCACGTTTCAGGTCTGCCGCTGTCTTCTCGCGGGACCTGAACACAGCCCGGGGATCGCGGACCAGGTGAATAATTTTGATGTTCAGGGATGGATCAGTGAGAAGGGGGTAAAGGACTTTCAGGTCAAAGAATCGAACCTCCTTGACGGCAACATGGCTGTAGGTTTTACAAGCTTCCTCCACCTTGCTGAATGGGTACTTGCTACAGATCTTTTTGCAATTGCCTGCAGTGATTATGTCAGTGCGACTGAACAAGTCGCAGGCAGGTGGGGAGCACAAGGCTCGGCTTGTCTCCCATTGAAATAAATCAGACTTTTCCTTCTGGCTAGACATGTAAGCATCAAAGACAGACATGTCACACAGAAAGACCGACCTAACTAAGTCCCGCACTGCCATGTGTAAGACTTTGGCACTGTTCTGGGACATCTTAACCCAGACATGCCATGCGGGCTCCATCAGGTAGAAAACACTGGGGTGCTGGCTGAAGATTTGCCCAGTGAAGGAAGATCCTGATCGCCAGGTGGAGAGAATGAGGATGTGGACTGGAGAAGGTTTTTCTTCCATGGGGGCGTTGTTGCTGCAGGGCAGGAAGTAGAGCAGGAGGAAGGACAGAACTACCAGGATCAGGAGCACATGCACTCTTTTAGACTTCACCATGGTTGCAAAGGACCTGCAGAGACAGAGGAAGTTCAGCATCACAGGATCACAAAGAAGGCAGGATGTGGTGCATCAGGCTCCTGTGAATTTCTTTGTAGGCGCGGGGTTTTAGAAAGCTGTCACAATACCAATGACATTGTGACAACCACTGCACAAGCCGTCTTTGAAAAGGACATAAGTTCTGCAGGGCTGGAGGTTTTCTGTAACAAAAACACAATTTGTCAGTAAGTTTCTCTAATGTTGTCAGTAAGTGTTGTCTGATGCTGTCCTAGAAGATATTGAAAAGCTTGTCTGCATTTTTATCAAAGTTTAAGAGCTAGTTGAGTGCACTGAAATAAGTCCATACACACAAATGTGTACTTCATGTACACAAGCCTTGCAGACATGATCTGGGCAATTTTTATGAAGAAAAGATGTAAAAAACCACTTTTTTTGTGGAGAATTCAACAGTTCCACAGTGTTACTTTTAAACACTTGCTCTGACCACCATTTACAATTATTTTAATGCCAAAACGCTGTAAACATACAATATAGGTTTCAGGGGTTTTTAATTATATTCTTTCTGAAATTTCAGGAAACATTTATTATCACCACAGGCAAAAACTCACATACCAAAGGAAGTAATTTGGCACTGTGATAAATCCAAGCACAACAATATCTCCTCCACAGTTAAAGCATCATAAGCAATTTTGCTAGCAAGGCCTACAAGTGTAGGCAGGCTTAATGCTTGCCTGCCTACTAGCCCTCTTCTTAGCCTAACTCCTTTTTAAAGACTGTCTCCTGCTACCCTTCTTCCCTACCCCACTCATTCCATAGGTCTTGTATGAGAAGAGGTACAATAGGTTGTGCTAATTGAACTCAAAGTTCGGCCCAAAGCTGGCTCCTTGTTTCTCACACTAAACCTCTGTTTTAAAAAGTACATTAAAGCATGCTCTGCCAACTGCTCCTGTCTTGTGCTCTCTCCTTCCCTCCCCCAGCAGTGCCTGACAGTGTCACAGAGGAGTGCTCGCAGCACTGGCCACACTGGCCAAATTTGCATGGGGGTGCCTCCTCCTATTATTTCAGTTCCTCTAGTACTGATGTTTTAGATTTTCAGGTACAGTCACTGCTGCTAACCAGCTAGGAACTCCTCTGTCCCTCCAAAACATATGCTAAATTGACTTGTTTATCTAAGCTATCTGCTGTGCATTGTTTTGAGCTTAGGTTTATAAGGCAGCAATTATAATTTTTCAGAGCCAGGACAATAACCAGCCCAATGGGTAAGCCTGTAAGTGCTACCACAATATGAATTTTCCTTTAATAATGTCTTGCAAGGATATGGCTGTGCATTTAGTAAGGGACCACAAGCTTCTGGTCTCCTGGACAAGAAGCCCACTGATTTTTTTGGTTACACAAACGGCCTGTAGTGTTCAGGTCTGACGATAAGCTGAATCAGGTCGCTATTTGGACCAACCCAGGAAAAGCTGCAAACAAAGAGCGTTGTAAAAATCAGTCACTTATCAGCTTCCTCCTTGCAAATACAATGCAAGGAATACAGTAGTGTTTACCAAAAGTCCTGGCTTCCAAATTAACTTTGACAATATCTCTTCCATCTGGCGCGATTAATATTGTTACTCTAACTCCTCACAGAGTTCCTGGACTACAGCCAGAAGTTATTAATCAAGAAAACTCTGTTGAGCAAACATGAACACCAGCATGAAAATGCCCAGGTAGATTTAAAACCACAGAAATAATTATTTCTATGGGAACTTGCATGCAAATAGTCTGAGAATGGATTTGGTAGGGAATGGTTTTTTCTTGAATCAAATCAGGGTGGGATAGCTGCATGTTTTAGACATTTGACAGAGTATGGAGGCCATTCCTGTGACTGTTCTTGGTAGAAATGACCTGGTGTGAGGCCACAGCCTCAACAGCTTCTTCACTCTTATACAAGAAATAGTGATGATTGTTGCCCTGAGAAGTCTGTTCCACAGAGGGCAGGACTGAAATGACTTGTGTGCCTGGTGAAGTGGAATAGAGTAGCAGCAAAGAACAGTAGAGGTTGTATCGTACCTTCCCTAATATGGTATGAAATAACATACCTAGAAATACTAGTTACATAACCTTATTCTTCACCACTGCATCTCTCAATCATGGCAGCTGGGATATTTCTAAACTAAGATCTAAACATTTTCCCCACAGCAAACATCCAGAGTCACCAGGGATTCAGTTAATTTCATATTGCAAAAGTGAAAATATGAAGCTCTCATAGAGCTGCTAAGTAAAGATCAGCCCAGAATGACTGAGACAATCTCAGCTGCAGAACAAAACAAAGGCACACTGCTACTGTGTGCTGGCAGAGAGACGAGCCAGGATTTGGCTGAGAGCAGAAAGAATAGGAAGAATCTCAAGGTACAGAGGATGAAGTACAGGAACTACTGAAAAAAACGACAATCCAGTGTTGCTGTGTTAGTCTCCCACAGCCAATGTATGAGAACACAAATAGCTGGGATCTGCCTGCCTGAGCAGCTAGAGTCTCAAAAAAAAAAAAAACCAAAACAAAACAGTAGAGTTTTATGCTTTTCCAAAAAAAGACACAGGGACCTTGGAAAATCTTGATCCTGGCAAAGAGCAAGCATTACAGAAAGCAACAAGCAGCCCAAGGGAAATCTACCCATCAAACACACTCTGAGCATTGGGTGGCCTGTTCCCAGAGTACAAAGTTTGTGGTATTGAGTGGCACGTCCCCAGGGTTTGTTGAATCTATACATGCCTGGGGTGGGTGCGAGATAGCCCAAAATATCTCATGCAGTGCAGACTGGTGTTAAGTGCTCTGCCAGTGTGGGGGAGTTCTCCAGACCTGTACACATTCCCCATTGCTGTAGTGGCAGCAGTATAGCAAAGAGGATCTGGTGCCAGGGAAGCCCCAGGCACTCCTCTTTGATGGCACTGATGGTTGCTCATAGTTTTTTCAAATGCTTCTTCAATTTGTCCTGGTCATCTTCTGCAGAATTAGAAGTCATCTGCCCAGAGGAGAGCAACTGGCATGACAGTCAATAGTGGGAAAAGCTAAGCAAGGGCACTGAGAAGACAGCCTGTAGAAGCAGGAGCTACCCTCCAAGTCAGACCAACAGCTTCTGTCTGCAGGAAGAATTGTAGCAATTTGCTGGCATCTGTATGCTTGCAGTGTTTTACAAAAGTTATCTCCCAGTTCAGGCTGCTGAGCATGAGCAGTGACTACAGTTCTGGGCACAAGAGCATCCACACCAGATACCAAGAATGGTTGAAAATCTCTCACCTTAGCAAAGTCCTCGTGAAGCACCAGCAGGCCTGATTCAAGCAAAGTTGCCCTCACACCCGTTCACTGCTGTGGTCCACAGCCCTCTAGGCAGTCACACGAACACTCTGCCTACGTGCTGGGCTCTCATATACACGTGTTCTCAGCTCCCACCTACACCTGTGGCTGCTCCTTCCCGTCCCCTTTATTTGTGTACATCCCAGCTCTAAGAGTGACTGCTCTGCACTGCCCGCCTACTTTGATCAGCCTTGGACTAGAAAAGCTCCACCCTGCACTGAGCACAAAGCATCATACTGGGAGTTTATTGCAGGGGCTCAAATGACCAGGAACTGCTAATAAAGGAGCAGGGCCAGAAAGTTTATGAAGGAGATTGAGAAGCACTTTTAAGCTAAGTCCTGTTGCAAGCCCCCAAAGAGATGGCTCTCTATAAAAGGAGGAACAGCGATGTCTGTGGAGTGTCAGAGCTTGCCCACCAGGAGTGCAGAGACAAGGCATATTTTCCTGCCATTGCTCTGGCTGCTTGTCATGTTATCAGCAAATGCAAATTCACATAAAATCTTTTTGTCTCTTCTCTGTCTGTGCCTTGCTTGAATTAAATATTTGGGGTGCTGGGGAAGAAAATTGTGTGAAAGGAGAAGCTGTGGAAGGAGCAGCTGGACTTGGCCTGTTAATGATTCACAAAGGTGTTGGAGCTGCAGTGGGGCTGTGGCAGGTAAGGTAGTGAGCCAGGGCAGCACTGGGCTCAAGAGAAATACTACTGTGCAGTGACAATTGCTTTGGCTCATTCCTATTCCAGATCTTATAGTTTCTGTCACACAGTTTGGAGAAATGTAGACCTCCTCTTAATGGTGTCCCCTGTCCCCAAGGACATCACTGACATACTCTCAGGGCAAGTGAAGTATAGGAGACAGCAGAAGCAAAAAGTCTGGGTAAGGTTGGTCCTTCCAGCAAGAGAAACAACCCAAATGGGGCAGGTCATGTTCTCTTTCACTTGCAGCATTGCCAACACAATGGTCAAGCCCTGGTAACCCTGGGCTGGGAAACAAGGTGAGAAGCTGGCAGTGGCCCAGGTAGGGCCCTGTAATGAACCATGCAATGTTTTGTGCAACCTGGATTTCAGCTGTGTGTTCCCATGCCCTGCACCGACACCATCCATAGGAAGGATTCATCTATAGGTCATGAAGTGTTCAAAACCTTTGTAAAGGTCACACCACTTGAGTGGCTCTTCCTGAAGCGTTATTCCTCCCTGGCCAACAGTTGCATGAACAGAGATGTATCAACATTTCTGTTCCAACTGTACGTAGTTTGCCTGAGGATGTGTCTTTGACAGCTGATGAGAGAACAAGGCATACCTGGAGCAGTGAAACCAGCTCAGCTGTAAGGTTTGACTAACCCCTGTCTTCTGCCATCATCAAAAGCAGATGCCTAGAGGAGAGAACAAGAAACACATCTCCTCCCTACATGCTCTCTTGGCCTGAAGCCAGAGATCTGGAGGACACAATTCACCTCTCTGAATGGAGTTGTCCAAAATAAAATAGTGAATGATGCCCTGGAAGTTCCTGTTCCTTTCTGTTGGCTGTGACAAGAGTGGAGGGTGATGCTTGTGTAAACACAGAAGCTGTCTAAACTCAGTTCAGATTAACCTTGTCTTTGCCTTTGACAGCACCTAGGTCTTTTTTATATTCACTTCTCCAATCACGTTTTGAACTCAGATACTTTTGACATCAACAAGATTTCCTGGCAATAGAGGTATGTTGGGCTGCATGTTGTGAGAACTATTTTCCTCTGTTTTGAACCCACATATAAAAACTGTTTTTGATATTATCACATTTTTTTTTAATCAAGAGAGACAATGAATAATTTCTTCCTACTTGTAGTCTTCAAGCTATTCAAGATTTTAATATCTGCTCTTATATGGCCCACAGAACAGTTCATACCAGGTTGATAACTAAAGCAGCTCATGGGAATCATGCTGTGGAAGTCTCTGTGTCTTTTAGGTATATGTTGGGATGGTTCACATTTTCTGCATCCCAAAGGTTACGACACCAGGGAGCTACTGGAAGAGTCAATGCTATGACTGCACTGGTGAATGCTTACCACAGAAAGACATCTCCCTTTCAAAGCAGAGGGAGTTCAGTTGCTTTCCAGCTGACACCACTAAAGCTGCAAAGGAAAGATGGAAATTTATGGCTCTGCAAGATTGAGTGTGACAGAAAGCTGTGATGTGGCTGCTCACATAGAGGCTATGTACGGTCTCTTGTGCTGATCACGGGATTTGAGTGCTGCTATATTGTTGTGTTTTGAATTGTACAGGCAAAACTCTGCTCCTTGCAGAAAAGAAACCTGACAGTAATCTAAAAAAAAAAAAAAAAAGAACAAAACTCTATGTCAATTGCTCATCATTTTCATCTGGATAAAGGTAACAGAGTGGAACTCTGGCTTTAGGAAAGAGCTTTTTTGGTAGGGATGCTTTATACAGTCACCCTGATTGCTTAAGAAGTCATCATTCATAGAAGATGGAAAGAAAATGCAGCAGTGAGGCAAACCCCAGAATCCATAGGAGCAGAGCTGCAATGTCTATGCTAAACTCCAGTCAGAGCAAGTTTTTTTCTGAGCCAGAGCTTCTAGAAAAAGGAAGAATGAGACAAATGACTGCTATGATGTCCTATATGAGGCATCTCCAAGGACAGGCTGATGTGCTTCTGCACTGAAGTTGCTATGGCCTTTTCCTTGTGTTAGAGATAAGTTTTAAAGTTATATTTTTATTTAAAAGCAGTTTGAGATAAATAGATGTATCTTAACTGGCACATAAGTACCCAAAGTTGCCATAGGCAAGAGCAAGGATAGTGGCTGACCCCCTCCCTCTCTCACCCTGAGTGCAGTTGCAGTATCATTTATTGTTTTCACTGTAATATGGCATTCTAATATCAAGTGGTGGGAGAACAGGAAAATGTGAAAACATGAGAGAAAGCATGAAAGAAGCTTGTGTAAAGCAGGTTCTAAAAATGAGGTCACATAATACTTTACCAACACATTACAGGAAAGAGAAAAATAGTAAGAAAAAAAGTGTTTATTCAACTTTTGAATTAATTTCACTGGTCAGCTTCTGCCCTCTTTAAGTACATAGGCAGTCATCAGCAAGGCACTGAATCTTAGAGCAGAACAGCTAGTTTAGGGTTGAGAGAAACAACAGCAATAAACAGACCTGAAGCATGCAGAAGCTCACTCAGTGCACTGGAGCACAGAAGATCCCATGCTAGCACCAACTACTTCTGCCAGGCATCCAGGAAATAAGTCATTTAGATCATTGACAGTGCCTATTTGCTCTGGCAAAGCTTCAGGGAACACTGACCCAAGTCAAATAAGAAAACTGAAGACAATACACGACAAAGCAAAGGGCTGGTATAGATCTGGGCTCCCAGCACTGTGACAGCCTGTGCCTGACAGCCAAACCATGAGGAAGATCTCAGTGCTTCTACCCCCTAGGAGGCTCTCCCAGTGCTGGGGACGCAGGCCAGTATAGAAGATATAACCATAACCTTCTTCTGACCAGTTAAGCTTAGCTAGTTTTTAGGTGCCTTCCAGTGACTGGAACCCTGCTGCTGTGTCTTTCATGGCTGTCCTGTCAATAGCAAGACTTTGCCTGCGCTGAGCCTTCCTTCTCCTGCAGAACTCCTCTGCCCTCTCACACTCTGGTTTGCAAAATCCCTCCCAATCACCTCAAGCAAGTATTGTTTCCCAGCCCACTGCTGCTGCCTCCTCTTACATCCACAGTCTTTTCATGGCTACTTCTCATCCTCATGGAAGCATATCTCTGCCTCCCTTTGCTGTATGTCTTGGGTAATGCCACCAGAGCAAGTCAGCTCCTCTAGCCTCTGACAGGCCTGCACAGCCTGGGAGAACAAGGTTACATGCCAGCCTTCATGTACAAAGAAGTGTTGCATGGACACCTTCCCCTGGGTCCCCTGGGGTCCCACTCCCGTGTGATGCTCATGCCTCACCTGAGCTCCCAGGCACGCTGGGCCCTGGGTCACCACAGCCTCCACCTTCATGCCCAGACTGACTCCCTGCAGCCATCCTGGGTCCAGGTCAGTGCAAATCACATCTTCCCACTGCAGGTGTACAGAGTGGCTACGTGCTGGTGGAGAGCAGGCCAGTGCAGACAAGTTCTTGCAGCCAAAAGCCATGACCCCAAGGCAGAAAGACCCTCTGTTCTACAGCCCTACTGGAAGCAACCAGGGCTGCTAGAAGAAGGATTGGGTGAAGCCAGGGGCTAGGCTGCATTCAGGTTCCTAAGGCACCTGGGGTTGCTGATGGCCTCACTGCTGGCAGGTGTGATTTGGCCCTGCTTGCCAGCAGTGCTGAACCCCACTGCCAGCCCCTTTGGAAGCTGAGGACTAGTACACTTCACCTGCATTGGCCCCTGAGCTGAGAAATTTCTTCCTTTCTCAAGAAGAGAGCTAGGCACAAGGTTGCCTCTCTGCCTAGGTCCCCATATCTGGGGTAGGTCACTCTCCTCCTAAACACAGCCAGTCCAGACAGCACAGTAAAGAGCAGAAGCACACTGCAAGCCTGTGCCAGGGTGTACCACTGGTGCTCCCCAGCTAAGACAGGGAGGATGGCTGTGGATCAGTGTGTGTGAGCTGGCAGAGGCAGGATGCAGGGACAAACACAAAACCACAGATGAAATACAGAGTAAATTCATTTCCATTACCTCACCAACCAGAGGATCCTCAAAGCGGTACCCAAAGCCAGAGGCACACAAACAGGGATGCCACCACTGCGGAGCCTGGTCCTTGCTCAAGGGTCACCAAACCTGCTGTTTTCACCTGCATATTAGGGATTATTGCAGACAGTTTACCACTGATATTTGATCTTTACCACAGCAGAGCAGGAATCCCAAGCATGTTCAGTGGAGTGCTTCTCAGCCTATCACAGGCCTGCGTTATCTAAACACAGATGTACTACTCATCAAACACACAAGGCTAAAGTGTCTTTATCCCGTCGTCTACAACAAACAACTAGTACAATACATGTGTTTTTCTACACCTCACCTCAGCTGCAAGTCACTTGGATTTATCTACAATCCTCCTCACCAATCTTCCGTTACTTTCCCACCATCAGTCATAAGGGCTCTCAGGGAGTTCTACTAAAGCCCTGCAGACCTTGTCTAAACGTCTGCAAAGAGCAGCTTCAGGACAGTGTCTTGACTTCTTCCTTGGTCTCATTGCTGAAGGGGTTTTCTTTGGCACAAAGCA